GTCTAAGCAAAGCCTCTCTGAGCTGCTACTCGTACACAGCGTGTACAGATAATCAGCATTTCCCCCTATTTTAGGTCAAGTATCTCCCTAAAGATACTATTTAATTGAGTTTGGTGATATTATATATTTATCTTAGTGGCAACAAATTCATCATGAAAAGACCAAAACCGTCTTACTTTTGCCTGTGTATCCAAAGCCTGATATATTTTACTCCTCTGTGCCATAGAGCTAAATAATTGTCCAAAGACTATTAAAAACATATCGATGAGCCACACTGTTGCACTGTTTGACATGTTCCTTCATTACCATCAAAACACTTCAGTATATTTTGTCTCAGTCAGTCCTGCTGCTGTAAATACTCACTTGAGCACCAAATACGTAATAATCTGCAACAAATTCACTATTTATACCTGTTTGAGTAATGTTTGCTAAAAAATACAGTGCCTAGCTGTTTTAGACTTCGACAAAAAAAATCAGCTTACTGACCTGTTTGTAGAGTCTGTTTTATGTCTTGAGTGGGAACAACAAGGCTGGGAGAAGTCAGAAAGCACTGAGCGATGGACTAACACATTGTTGGTTTTGGTCTTATTATGGGATTAACAATAAGAGGAATATAGAATATCTCCAGCCGTATCCTTTAAGCACCTTCTTCACATGTATTTAACATAAATAACAACACATTAAACATAACTGTTCTGTTCCTTCTCTTTATTTTCTCACTCTTCATGAATTTTTTCATCATCTCCCCACTTTTCTTTCTGACCACTACCTCTGTCTCTGTCTCCCCCCATCTCTGCGTGTCCAGGCTCGGGATGAGGAGAAAAACCGGAGGAATAACACAGACAGCACCAACCAGGTCATGAAAGACTTGGAGGACCTGCTACCGAACCGATCCCTCGCCCCCCCTGCTCCTCCACCTGAGCCTGGTCAGTAAACACATGAACAGCTGATTGTCCTATGCAGATATATGAAGAAAAAAAATACTAAATGCCTCCATATAAAATATATTATTATGTTTTTAGTATTTAGTTAGTATTAGTATTTAATTTAAGTATTAGAATGAAAAGTGAGAACGGTATCTATTTATCTAATACTGATCCAAAGTTTTTCCCCCATATACCATAATTTAAAAATACCATTCCTCCTGATTACCGTTTTATGTTATGCATTCATTGAGGCATTAATGTTGTGATTTAAAAACTAACATGTCTAAACAGAAAAGACACCAGAGCCAGATGCAAAGCCAATGAAGACCAAGCCCGGGTCTGCCGGTAAAGGCGTTAACCTGCAGAAAGATGTGGCTCTGGCATCACCTAACCCCAACGCTCGAGGGCCAGTGAACCGGCCACCTGGGCCTAGAGGACAAGGACCTATGCCAGGCCAGGGTGCCAGACCGGGCCAAGGCCGTGGGAGAGGGCCCCCTCCGAGATAACAGTGTGAGAAAATCACATTCCTGCAGGCTGTGTTCATCCCTTAGACAATCTGCGTTCATTTCACAGCTGGAGACTTAAATAGGCACAAAGCAAGGTGTTGAGATTGTGGCATTTCAGTTACATTTTACTGTTCATTACTGACATTAACAACAATTTGTCTTGAGTAACTTACAACTCATGAAGGAAGATTGTGTTGTTGGTCCACTCTTTTTTTTTCCAACTTAAGTTGAAAAACGTACGTTATACGTTAACTCACACCACACATTTAAATTGGCCTTTCTGCACGGCCAGAACCTGCGACTTTTATGCTTACACTGTATGGATCAATTGACCGGCCGCAACATGGGGGCTCACAATGAAAGTAAGCACTGAACCCCTTTGTCCAGTGACAATTTCAAAAATATTTCAGAACAATACACAGCTGGTGCAGCAAGATGCAGACATACAGTTTATATATATGTTTTATTATATTAGCCTATATAAGTTCAGTTTCAGTCATGCCTGCCTTTTACTAACCTGTGTGGGACCTTGCTTTTATGTTTACTCTTACATTTACAATAACTTTGAAACCCATGGTATGATTCTGACTTTGCAATAAAGTTTGCAGCAGCTCAGTTTATATCCGTTTTAATATCCAATTTTAAATTGTCTTTTATTAATTTATTTTTGTTGTTTTTGCTTGAAACTTCAGAGAAAAGAGGCAAACCGCAGAGGACTCAAGACGTTTGCTGTTTGTTGGATTTATTGTATTTGATGTTGAGTACTAGCATTTATCATTGTCAGAATCATGATAAACAGTGCCAAGTACAAAAACCGATGCAGCAGAACCAGAGATTTTTTTTTTTATTCCACTTATTCTTCTTTCAAAACCTGGCATCTACATTGTCCACAGTATATCCTAAATGCCGACAGTTCGGTCAGAGATTTGTGTGTGTTATGCTAGTAGCAGCTAATGTAGCCTTGAGCCGCAAGGAAGGGCTACAGAGGTCTGGGAAGATCTCACTTCTTTGTAACTCCACACCCCCAGATTATTATTATTTTTTTCATTTTTAAACTTGTAGTCTTCAGCCCCAAACCGATGCTGACTCAAGTGACATCACTTGAGTCAGCTTTATCAGATTATCAGGAGCTTGCGCAGCTCCCCTGGAGTCACAGAAGACTTTATACAACTTTTTTCACATATATACTAGTACCCCCTGACACCTGTAAACAGGCTTTCATGTGTAAAATCAGGTGAGGTCCCCATTCAGCAGTATCAGCTCAAAAATCTGGTTCAGTCATGTAATAGTGCAAAAAACAATGTGTCAGGTCAGTATTTAGGAGTGTTTACTTCAAAAGCTCCTTAAAAACATGAACTACAGTCACCTTCATCTTAGTTGTTACTCTTCTCTGCATGTATGTGCGTATGAAGTTGTTTGATTGAAAGGTGAAGCACTTTGAATTACAATACAAGTCTTTACAGAATGTGAAGGAAATTCTTGGGAGTTGGTCATCAACAGTTATTGATGAAACTCAGGATGTCTTCCACAGCAGTGTTTAATGAAGCTCGGCCGAGGAGAAAATGGTTAGTCTAGAGTGGGAATGAGTGTCAATAATAGCCACAATATTTATCCCTTTACTGTCCCTAAGGAGTCTATGATGTAACCCTACAAGGTAATTATCTACTGGCCTAAATAAGTATAACCATCTTATTGAATGTTGAACTCTAATGTTTACCTACATCACTTTGGAATTAGGAGGCCACATGTATTACATTCTGTGACACAGTCTGTCTGTATACATCAAAGACTGAAGCACCATATCTCTCATTCTTGCTATCTCCCAGCTGTTGTTATGCACCCCAGTGGCGTTTCCAGTGGCGTTTCCAGACATTTTTAACTAACGTGGGGCACGGACTTGTGCAGGGGTAGCATGAAGTAGCCTATGTTCAACCGCCAACATACACACACGTCAAAATAGCATTCCATTAACATGTCTCCACTGCTCATATCAACTTTAATTATGAACATTACAGTTTGATGCATTACAGCCTCAATGCAAGATGGTCCCATTACAATCAGAGTAACTTAAGGTCAGCAGCGGATTACAGAAGTGACAGCACGCATCTTCAAAACCACCCGTAACAGAGAAATGCACTGCACAGAAAAACTATAACAACTGACAGCACACTTTCAAACACGTGAAAAAATGATCTTATTAGTGACAGCGCACTATGACACACATAAAAATGCTGTGTGTCATTGTGCAAAGTAATGTATTACACCCCAGCTAGCAGGCATGGGCATTAATTTATTTAGCTGACGCTTTTATCCAAAACAACTTACACTTGCTATATGAGCTCGCACACCTCTGGAGCACCTAGGGGTTAAGTGTCTTGCTCAGGGGAGAGTGGGGAATTGAACCTGGGTCTCTCACACCAAAAACATGAATCTTATCAACTGCGCCATCACCAGTTGTCAAGAAAAGCAGCAAAACGGTGCAGACTTCCCCAAAGCTTGCAGCTCTGCATTGGTCCAAACCAACCATCTTGGTTAGTTCTTGTTTTGCTCTCACTTTTGAGATGCTGTCTGGATTGCGCGATGCTGTTGCTAGCAGCAGGTGACTCTTCTGGCTCTCAACTTGTGCTTACTGCTATCCCGTCTTTCTTTTTAAGGAAACTCAATATTTTTGGAAGCTTTGCATTTTCTTGCTCAGCAGCTTCTTTTCTTGTCTAAAAGCTGCTTTTGTGTTCATAACTCTGTATGGCGTTAATTTCTCAGTTGCTGTCATGTCACTAGTTAGCATACGCTTCTGTGTGGCTGAAACAGTCCCCGACAAAAACCATTACCTAGAATTCTGCGCGGGTACACGTTGCACTTTTTTAACATAGAAGTGACAAAAAGTCTCTTGGCTCAGAGTAGAGGGCTGCATTGGGAAATGGGTCAGGAGCGGGCAGTTAAAAAATATACTGTGTTTCCTGGGATTTAGCTTGTGCTAATAAGATGGAGTCAATAAACGAAGAGCGGGATCGAGAAAACAGTCCCACGGGGGACTAGCGCGGTGTGTTTGTCCGACTCGGATCATGACTGTTTAATCAGCCCACCTACAAGGCTCACCTGCCAAACACCAACGCAGCATCACTGATAGGCGAATAGTTTTTTTAGATTCACAGAGAGCTTATAATCTAACTAATACGGTTACATCTCTCATGTGTGACATGATGTCACAGGGTTTTGAGGTCATTTTTAAGTCTACATGGAACCTTCCATCCAGGCCTTTGTCGGCTTCACTTCTCAAACTGTGGCTTACCCCCTTGGTTGTAAGACACTTGAGAGGAATGGTTTGAACTAAGGTTACACCTTTGACTGTACTGGCACAAATAGCCAATCATAGTTTGGGAAAATGGTGTGGCCTATCAGATTTCACAGGTGGCACGTGCCACCCAATGCCACCCCCCTAGACACACCCCTGATGCATGGAGGAAATCAGCAGCATAAATATTTCCTGAGAGACAAAGAGGTCATTCAGCTTCTATGTCTGTGAGTGACCTAAACATGACATGTATGACCTGTACAGACCTTTTACCGACAAGGTCCTCTAAAGGAAAATTCCTTCACACAGAAGAGTCGCCCAACCAGTCAGACGTGCCCAAACCTCTGACTGTCACCTTGTAGTAATGTTGTCTTTGAGAGGTGGCAGGTGATTGGCTGATCCTCTGCAGGTGAAACTAATCCTGCCTGAAAATCATCTGGACAGAGTTGGGTGGAGACACTGCAGACTGAGTTAAATACTGCAACACCTGAGATCTGTAAATCTGTGACCATCTCTAACAGCAAAGGTGAGGTTTTTGTTTTAAAATTTTAGTTTTGTTTTAATAATTATAATTTCCCTTAAATTCTTAAGTTCTTCTGCCTTTCTACAGCAAAGTGTTAATGTTTGTGGTTTGAACTTTCCAGCCAAGTAAACATGGCCTTCTTCAAGAACATCTTCAAACATGTCATCAATGACAAAGACCCCAAAGATAACACTGTCACAGTGAGTATCACCTGGGAACTACTAGTCTTGAGAATAATACACTTGTTGTAAAATGACTTCCTGACAGCTGTCTGCAGCTCTGCTTCTTGTCACCTTATTGTCCTCTCCTCCATCTCTCCTGTCACTCTGCCCTGTGATGTAACTGCAATGAATCAAAAACCATCTTTTAAACTGAAAATGATCTGTAGCTTGGGATGCCTAGTGATTTTAGCAGCTGACATTAGTGAAACATTTCTACTTCTGGCTGTTGTTCTAGGTGAAGGATAAGCCGAAACCGAAGTATTATGGAACAGTCGTCCCGTATCCGAACTTCAGTGCCAGCAACGATGCTGCCGTTCTTAAGAGTGCCATTGAAACTAAAGGTGTGTGTGCGCACTCGTGTTATCTTAAAAATGACTTAATGCTTGCAAGGTTGGGCTGTTCTTAAATGTTAAAGTTGAAGAACGGTTAAAACATGGTTAATGTTTCATCTATGAATGACAGGAAAAACCTAATTAAAAGATATTTTGGATGCAACTGAGGATGCTCTTCTGTTTTAAAAAAAAATAATTTTAGTACTTTGGACAAAGACAAATCTTCTTTCTAGACTCCCCCTTCCTGACCTAGCAGCTGCGCTTTAAGTGCTTTAAAGAAAGTAAAGTATATCTTGTCTTCACAGGAGTGGACGAGGCTGCGATCATTGCAATCCTGGTGAAGAGAAGCAACGAGCAGAGACAGATGATCAAAGCAGTTTTTGAAGCTACCGCTGGGAAGGTGAGTATTTAATTTCTCATGAAGACAGAGGCAAGTGTGGTCAATAATAAATGAGCAACAAGCCAAAAAAGCAAAATGAAGCAAACCTGTATAGTTGAATTGACAGGTAATTAAAAAACACCCTTACTCAATAAACTTGTGTGTGTGTGTGTGTGTGTGTGGGGGGGGGGGGGGGGGGGGGGTGCTGCTACAACCTTGCTCAGGTACAGCCACTATAGTAGTGGATGTCTATGAAGATTCTCAGTCATCCAGGTCATAGTTATCCAACGAAGGTTAAAATCAATGATTTTAACCTTCGTTGGATATAGTAGTGGATAGTTTGCAAACTTCACTGACTTCATCTCTGTTCTCTGTTTGAAATGTCTGAATGCTTCCGCTGTTAGGTTTGACTCATCAGAGACAGAAACAGCCTAAACCTTTTATTTCAAAGTGAACACACACACCTGGACAAACAGGTGGAACCGCACTCTTGCAGGTAACAGGTGAAGCACACCCATCAGTGTAGGAACAAAAACAAGTGGGCCTGATTTTGTTTAATTAATTAATTTATGTTAACTAGTTAAACAATATCTTCATCATCCAAGGAGTGTTTGATTAGTTGAATTCACAAGTAGACCCCCTATATCAATACATTTTGGGGGTTTGCTGCTATAGCCTTGCTTGGTCTGGTATGAACAGTATCATGGTGTATAGTTTGCAAGGACGGACTGACCACGTGGGAGTTTTCCAGGTGGGCCACAGGACAATTGGGTCGATAAACTACATAGTATTAAAATAGAGACAAAGAACTGCAATTGAAAATCGATTGGTATGTGCCTTGATCGACTGGCGCATAACACGTGGTTATTGGCCCAGGCGGGGGCGGGGCGGGCGGGGCAGGGCGGGGAAGTGCCTCAAAATGACAGACTTTTCTTTTGGTTCTGCTGCTACAATCTATATATTTAATGAGACATTAATATGATGGCTTACTGTTTTTTGTTAGATTAGCTTAGAGACAACCACAAGTCAGATCCCAATGTAGACAGACTAAGGGAATCTTGGGAAGTCAAGGGAAAAATAATGTGTCATTATCCTATAATTACTACTAGTGTCCACAGTGGTAGTTGTTCAGCACAAGTTATACAGTCTTGCTTTAGAGCCAATATGTGTAGAATTGGCAGGCCTAGTGTGAAAAAAGTCACTGTGGCAGATGTTATGATCATCACAACACCCCAGAACAACCACACGCTTTAATTTTCAGCAGCAGTCTTAGTTTTGAAATGCCATGATCGAAATGAACAGTAGTACCCTCATGCCTTTGTGTGACTGCTCCCTGTGTCTTGCAGAAGCTGGAATTAGCTCTGAAGTCGGCTCTCAAGTCACATTTAGAGGACGCCTGTCTGGCTCTGCTCATGACACCCGCCCACTTTGATGCCTACCTGCTCAGGAAAGCTATGAAGGTAAATATCAGCAGTGTTTGTACTAAATACCAGAGGAGGACTGTTTTAGATTTTGTCACTCCTAGCATTTGCTCTGTTCCAACAGGGTCTGGGCTCAGATGAAGATGTCCTCATTGAGATTCTGGCAACAAGATCAAACCAACAGATTCAAGAGATCAAGAGGGTCTTCAAAGAAGGTGAGGCCTGATTCAGTGCAGCCACTCTGTTACTTGTTGGTGTACATTCAATGGAATTTTCCTGAAAGGTTTTCACATTTTACCTAACATCATACGCACCAGAGACACTAAAGAGTGTCATTTTAGTGCCTCCAGTGCACGCAGCAGCAGAAGCACTCTATGCTGAGACCGCACAGCACTGGAATCACCCAGTCGTGAGGATTTAATTCTCTAAACAGCAGCTTTAACCACAGCGGTTATGCTTTGTTCCATTATGTTACTGCAAAGTCTGTTATCTTGGAGCTAAAATGCTCTTTGTCCCTTAGATTACAAAGCAGAGCTGGAGGATGTTATTAAGAGTGACACCAGTGGTGACTTTACCATGGCCCTCCTGGCCATGTTGAAAGCTAGCAAGGATGAGAGCACTGTAGTCGACATGGCTCTGGCAGAAAAGGACGCAAAGGTAAAATCAGGAAAATCAACTTTTAAAGGATAAGTCTGCCGCTATTCAACAATTGTTCTTACTGTCAACAAAACTCATTAAAGAAAACTAAGCCAACACTACTTTGTGATTTCCCTACTTAGGGAACCCTATGATTCATAATTTATTTGCAAAAAACGAAGAAGAAACGTAATTTCTTAAACAGACAGTTACTGTAACTTTTAATTTGGGACCTTCGGTGGCGGATTATACTTATTTGCTGCCCTAGAGAGTATTTCCAGCAGCATGACCATTTACTGTATGTGGGACTGACTCAAGTTAAACTACAGTGTGTGGTGGATGGTAATATAGGATCATATCAGTCGGTGCAACTGTGTGGCTCACTGATGTGTTTTTAATAGTTTTTGGACAACAATGGAGCTCTGTGGCACAGAGGAGTAAGATCACGCTTTAAATACAAAATGACTAAGTTAGTAAGATCAATTGTTGACAATACGAAAAATATAGAATTTCACCAGATGTTTTCTTTAATGTAAAAATTTAAAGAAGAGAACAACATTAACTGGTAATGGATTGTTACTGTTTTGTACCTTTTAGATTCTGTTTGAAGCAGGTGAGACCAAACATGTCAATGTTTCTACCTACATCGACATCCTGACCACACGGAACAACCTGCAGCTCTCTAAAAGTGAGTGCATGAAATGTCTCATCAGAGGCTGAAACAGCAAAAACTTTTATTTCAAAGTGAACCCACACACCTGGAATAACAGGTGGAACCACAATCTTGTGTTGGAACAATACTGAGAAATGTGGGCCAGATTATTTAAATATATTTTTTGTTAAATGATTTCTTCATCATCCATGGATGAATTGTGAAAATGAAAAACAGTTGCACCCTGTTCTGGTAATATTTCTTTAGGTGTATGCATCAAGTGTTTAAGCACACATAGCACACTCTTTCATCAAGGCGAGGTGAATAAAGCAACAACATCTAAAACAAGATCCAGTTTAAGCATCATATGATGTGCTCCTGTTTTAATTAAATTTTAACTTTAGCTCAATGTGTATTTAGTTGCTTACAGGATATTAATTCTGGAAGTTCATATCTAAAGATCCTTTTAAACCGGCTAAAGAGTGTTTTCTAAATCCCAAAAATGTTTAGGTAAATGGGCTGATCTCATACCTTTTGAGTACAATAACGTTTTGGAAAGCGTTTTGTCTGACAAGAAGCCCATTAACCTATAAATCCCTGTTTATCTGTTTACCTGCTAGCATTCCAGCAATATGCCTCCGTCAGTGATGTCACATTACCAAAAGCCCTGGACATGAAGCTGAAGGGAGACATTGAAAAATGCCTCCTTGACCTTGGTAAGGGGGATTTTGTTATTTCTTTCCTGGTTTGATCAGATCTGGTTTCACTTTTCATGAATAAAAAGGTCACTTGAGTTTTGCAGTATGCCAAACAAATTTTAAAGGCCTAGAAATCCATTTTCTCAATAGGCTTCTTACTGTGAGCAGTGGTGTCCTAACACATAAACATAATGTTCTGCCACAGTTACAACTGTTTTGGTTATTTAATATGTGATTTTTGTTGTTTGCGTATGTTGCTAAACCACTGAAAATCAAATCTGATCAAACCACACTCACATAGCCTTGAAGCAGCAGCTGAGCTCAGTACAATCTCTTGATAAATAATAATTAAAGATGTTTTTCTCTTAACTTTAACATTGATTGTTGCACATTGGGTAATGGATATTCAATATTATACTTAAGGTTTAAAAACAAGTTGTCATGGACTCAAAGAGCTTATTTTTGTCATTGTCAAGCGGTGTTACTCTGGCATAGATCCCGACTGATATGGGATTTTTGATACCAATACCAATTTAAAAGGGGTAAAAAATCAAGTATTACTGATATGGTGGCCGATGGGGCCATTTTTAGCTGTAATGAAAATAGACCTTTTCTAGGCTCTGATTTTGCACCGACATAACAATGCAAAGGTAATCAGAAGGAAGCTTTCTCAAACAAATACAAATATTTAACTTAAATAATCTTTAACATGTTTAATGGTTACAATAAATGTAAGGTATTTCACAAACTAGTTAGCAACTTACTGTGAAGACGCCGCTTGACTGTGTCCGCACCACCCTCTGCTCAGCTGTGATGTGAGTTGGAACAGCAAAAAAATACAAAAATACAAGTGCAAGTGAAGAGAAGTGCATAAAAACAACAGATTTGAGCCCTGGATAGACCTGATCCCAGTGATACTATCTGCACATCCAAGTCTTCCAGTGTGTGGCACAAGGGCATCATGACCTCACACACCATGAGATCAGGGAGAGTCTAAAACCTTGTTTGGACTACTGAATCCTGAACATGAAACTTCATAAGATGAACTATAACACAGACGTGAATGAAGAGACATTGTGAACTGTAAGACACAGCAACATCTAGTCGGTGCATATTTTCACTGATGATGTTTTTTTGTGTCTTCAGTGAAATGTGCCTGGAACACACCAGCCTTCTTTGCTGAGACGCTCCATCACGCTATGAAGGTGTGTATGAATATCTCCTTCCCTCTCACCATATGTAACAAGTGTGTGTGAGACTTTTCCCACACACATCCTCTGCTGAGTGAAGTTTACAAGGTCAGTTTTACTTAGAACTTGAAAAAACACGTCAACGCTATCAAGTCTGCCATAATACGTTACATTCACATGCAAATGGTAATGTGAAAGCTGACATTAATAATCAAAGGTTTTCATGTAAATGAATCCCTGTTTTGCCGCCGATTCTCTGGAAATGTCTTTGAAGCACCATAAATATTGTCAGCCTCTGGAAAACACTGCTTAACTGCAGTGACTGGTTATGCAACCAACACAGATGTAGTGTGAAGGAATGCTACATAACTTTACCCGCTATCATACAAATAATGAATGAGAAAATGTAACTAAACAATGTGTAAAAACCCGCAGAGTGAGGCGATTTGCATACACTCATGCTTTCTACCTCTTCAGTAATGGAGGCTCTGCTCCGTTCTCGCAGGGCCTCGGCACAAACGAGAACGCACTGATCAGGGTGCTGGTGAGCCGCTCTGAGGTCGACCTGAAGAAGATCATCGATGAATACAAGGCCATGTTCAACATTAGCCTACAGGAGCACATAGTGGTAAAATGACATTAAGTATTCAAAGTGTCACTCATTCAGTACAGACACAAGTGACTGAAACTATCTCAGCTGACCACATCTTTGTCTCTGTTTCACAGAAAGAGACTAGAGGAGACTTTCAGCATGTCCTGCTTGGACTGTGTGGATCTAACTGAAATTCTGCTGTAACCACTTTACTGGAAAACAAGGCCAGCTTGTCCACTGGATGCCACTGAAACCTCACATCTTTCAAAATGATTATGAATAATGTGACCAATCTGTCTTATTGAGTTGATGTTATCCCACCAACAATAAAAAACATCTCAAACCCTTTCTTTTTGTTGTTTGGTATTTCTTGTTTTGCTTTCATGTATTGTTTTTCTTTTTTACAATGAATCCACCTGCAGGTCTGTCTACTTGTATATTGAGTTCTAATTCACAACATGGATAATTATTATAAGAAAATTATGTGCATGGGGAGGAAGATGGAGCAGGAAACAAGGAGCTAGAAAGGTTTGGATAGATAATCTCAAAGATTAAATCTGAAATATATGCTACAACATATCCCATGAGTCTTTGACACAGAGCCACTGTAAAAGCCTTGTGGGAGCTGTAGTTGTTTAATGTTACCAATGTTACCAAATAAAATGTGCTCTTTTATTTTTGCTCAGCATGAGGTTTTGGCCAGTACAGTAGTAGATACTTTGCAAACCCATTTCCATCTGTCTGCCAAAGTCTGGACTTTTAAGTAATTTAAGTCACAACCATGAAATGGTATGCAATTTCATATATTGTAAGTCAAAATTATGAAAGATTTAGTCAATTTGATTAGATCTTTTCAGAAAAGATTATGAGAAACTAAGGCAGAAGCATGAGAGGAGAGAGAGAGAGACTATTGCTTACGTACTTTGGATAGGTGGCGGCAGCCGGTGGGATGAGGGGTGGGGGGTGAAAACAGGTGAAAAAATGAAAGATTTCTAGGCTGGGCTAAGCCCCCAATGTTTCAAGAGCCTGGAAACGCCCCTGGTGTCATTCCATGTCATCTCTTTTTCCTACATTGAGCTTTGGAAGCTAATGGGAAGGGATTGAGCCTGAACGTGGGCCGGCTTTCTTAAGATTGTGCACACACACAACAAGAACTTTAGAACATAATTCACCTGAATGCACATAGCTACTTACATTCATCGTCATCATCTGCGCAGAACCCTGAACTGCGCAGGAGCAACGCTCGCGAACACACACACACGCACGTGACGTGGACCGCTTACCGTGTCCGGAAGTGCTGGGGCTTGTTGGGCAGCTTGGATGTTTTTCCTTTCATTACGGACTGTAGCTGTTATTGTGGTCAACTCAGCCTAAAAACGGCACATTATATTGCTCAAACAATGAGACCACGTGTATTTGTTTGACGTACTCAGCACACAGAGGACGTGTCGCTGCGGGGGACTGGATATAATCTAACTTAACTGACATGCCAGATGGCTAGCTCGCTAACAGGCTAGCTAAGAGGTATGTTAAGATATTGGGGACATAAAGACTGCAACTGGACTTCAGCTGGTCGAGTTTAGGTGCTTTAAAATGGAAGAGAAATACAGCAGCAACGTACTCTCAGGGGGGAAACTGGGAATGGTCGAAGTGCCCAATTCTAGGTATGTGTTTTAAGCTGATTGTTTCACCACATATTTAGTGTCAGTGCAAAATAAATAGTGCAAAACCTTTTATAGAACGGTTGTGGGGTTTTTTCTGTATCTCCCACTTCCAGTACAAACATATGTTTCTTTGTCCTTTTTCCTCTTCAGGTTAACCAGATATATAGTTTTGCTGGTTGTCACGAAGGTCCTCAAGGCTCTTGGGATCTTTGAATCTTATGATATCCTAAAAGTTGTTCACATTGTCCAGTTTATCTTTATACTGAAATTAGGGTAAGTACTTGCTTATTACTTGCTTAGGTGTCATTTAATCCATTTTATAATAATATTACACTTGGTTTAATTATAATTACTTTGGATTTTTGGATTTATGGCCGCTGACAACATGCTGACAGTGATCCTTCTCTTTTCTCAGGACTGCTGTTATTCTGCTTTTCTTTCAAAAGCCTTTCTCCTCAGGCAAAATCATCTCAAAAAGACAGGTTTGTTGGATTGTTATTTTTCCATTTGTGTATGATCCAGCTGTTGTTTCATTTATGAAAATCAGAATCAGAAATACTTTATTGATCCCCAATGGGAAATTCTTTTGTCACAATTGTACACTTGTCAAAGGTAGATTGATAAAGAGTAAACATAAATATAGTGTATATATAGTAGCTTATATAGTAAAATTATAAAGACAAATATAAAGGATTGTGGCTGTGTAAAATGTTTACATTACAAAGATGGTGAACCAAAAAGGACTAGTGAATAAACAAAAGATTTCCCCTCATAAGTTCATCTGCTATTTCTGCAGTAGGGACACATACTGTAAATGTCTTTTATCTACCTGCGGATGCGGCTCTGTTGTCTGCAGTGTTTTAAGAATATTTAAGGTTGAGCTTTAAAAACCTAAAAGACTTTTTCATGAAAGACACTGTATCAATGCCACTGTGTCAGCTCGCCATAATGATGAATCTGTTTTCTTTTTAAATCTGTTTTCTTTGTAGTGGATAAAGTTATTAAAGCACGCTGTTTTCAGCTGTGTCATATCCCTCCTGGGCTTCTTCGGATTAACTCTCTGTGGTCCTCTAAGGTAAACTGTCACCATAAATGTTTGTTAGTGTGTTTCATAGCAGTTAATGGCAAAAGCCCTGCGTATAGGTGAGCATATTTGTTTGTATTTAACTGTGTGTGTTGATGTCTTTGTGTGGACTCCGCACGTGTTTAGGGGGTGATTAAAATTGATCCTGTCTTTTACAGAACATTGTTGCTTTTTGAGCACAGTGATGTGGTGATCATTGCTCTCCTCAGTGTCCTGTTCACAAGTTCAGGAGGGGGGCCGTCCAAGGTAGGAGCCCACAAATGAACACAACTGGTTTGGAATCAGAAACTAGCATTTATTTATTTATATTTAAGAATGTCACATATATTTTACACTACATTTATTCATCAATGTATTGTAGTGTCAGCTCTGTCGTGGTTTCATTTAAAGGACCACTTTACCACAGAACCCATTAAAAACCGATTTTTGGTGTCATTTGCTGATGTTTGGAACTGTTGGTTGCAACTCACTCCAGTATGTCCTCAATAACATTTCATCTGTTTCATCCCCAAAGATTACATTTGTCACCATCAGTGTCTGTTTTCATTTATTATTATGACACTATTATTAACAGTTGCCTATAGAATTTGTTGTAACAAATTTAACTAATAGCTTTCTGATCAAATTAAATCCACCAACTTTATGCAGACGACCATTCGCTCACTTCAGCAAAAAATAATAATACCAATTACATACAAAATATGTCTTTTATATATATTATTTTGGCCATCATTCCTACCAGTTGTAACATTGTACTCATCAAGTTATTTGATGAAATCTGGCAAAACAATGTCATTGCTTAAAAACGTCTAACTGCTAAAGTATGTTGGAATACAAAAGCAATCTGTGTGAATATGTTACCCAAACTCTCTGTTGTAAACACGCAATGTTGCTGTGTCCCATATCCATTAATTCTCTATCAAGTAGAACGTAAGTAATAATGCCAGAGAGCATTTTGTTGCTGTTTGGTTTGACCTTGTGGCTGTAACGCTTTGAGAGGAAGACGAGTCTCCTAATGTTGCAAAGAATATAACTGAAATTATAACAAGACAGACGAGGTGACATGGCTTAATCTGCATTTTGGACTTGGACTGTGTGTGCTGCCTCCAAAAAATAAATCACTGTGGTAAAAGTATGTTAAAAGCATACCTGTTTGTTTGTCTGTGGCTTTTCTCAGACCAGAGGCGCTGCTTTCTTCATCATCGCTGTGATCTGCCTCCTCCTCTTTGACAACGATGATCTCATGGCAAAGATGGCAGAGCACCGTATCTTTTACACCTTATGAAGGACAGTAGTCCCTGTCATTGATGTGATCCGTGTTTTTGTTGTTCATCATCATATTTCTCTGTTTGGATTGTGTCTGCCTTGACTCGGCTTCTAACCAGCTGAGGGACATCATGACAGCGCGCTCACTCATTTCCTCTACACGGCCATTGCATTTTTAGGGGTTGCAGATCACAAAGTAAGCAACGCCTGTGTCACGCATGAAATTTGATGTTTAGTGACGATTCCACAAGCATAGTAAATTATTGCCTTTGTTTTCCACATTAATTTCCTCCGTGTCTTCCCGTCCTTCCTGTCAGGGTGGTGTTGTGCTGCTGGTGGTCTCCCTGTGCCTGAAGGTGGGCTTCCACACGGCCTCCAGGAAACTGTCAGTGGAAATTGGTGGTGCCAAACGCCTCTATGCCCTTGACAACCTGGTTTCTGCAGTGGTACTGCTGCCCTGGGTCATAGTGCTGTCAGCAACCACAGACGTAAGTGCACTATGTGAAAAAATTAGAACTCTTGCATGCATGTAGCCCGTTTTGTCCTTTTGAAGAATTGTGTGGTATCATGAAGCTCACAAAGATCTGAAGTAAGTTAGAAACCACAGACATAGTGAACTGTTTTCATTCATTAGAGAGTTAAAATTAGCCACGGAAAGCTTATTTTCTACCTAACAAAATAACCTAACAAGAGTTGCTCTTTCCTCAGTCTTTTCAATCAAATGTTTTCCCTGTTAGGATGCCGCGGCTAGTCACTCTGTTGGTCTGTCCAACACGGTCTGTTGTGATTTATGACCCCCAGAGGATGATATCTAATGTTTTTAGTGACCTCATCTTTCCTGTAATTCCATCTTCTGGTTTAAAATTCTCCTTGGCCAGCTTTGGTCTGTGAGATAGACCACATAAAACTATCCTGTGATCCTTGTTCAAACATAGTAAGATTTCTTAAATAATTTGGACTGTGCTATATAAATGATCGTATAAACAAGATGCATAAATAGGTACTTCTTGAGCTCCGTGTCTCGATACTGTGAATTTGAATTGAAACTATATCTGTTTATGCTCAGATTATGTATCTCACTATTTTTTTCCATCTGTCTCTACACCAGAGTAAAGTAGAATCATGGTCGGCCCTCATCCTGCCGTTCGGGATGATAATCTTCTCTGTAATGATCCTGGAGTTTTACGTCGAGGCCATCTGCAACACAAAGATGGAGATGCCGAGGTGCGCCCGCTACGGCACCATCGCCCTTTTCTTCAGCGCCGTGCTGCTGGCCAACTTCTGGACTCACCCGCTGACCGACCAGCTGCGCTCCATGAGCAAACCGCCACAGCAGGTCAGCACGGAGCACGTGCTCTCTGGAGGAGTGGTAGTCAGCGCCATCTTCTTCATCATGTGTAAGTGACAGCTGTGGGCATCAGCAGGATAAGCTTTCTAATGATAGAACTGAGTTGGGGTTATAAGTCATCATTTGAAAAGTACTGTGCAGGCATTTTCCTTGTTTTGCGTACATACTGTAAGTGTTGCCCAGCACTGGCATAGCGTTTATGGATGTTTATGTACATTTCCCCATTCTCTGAGAAAAACATTTAACTGCAGCTTTCTGTTCCATATCTTCAAATAAAAGGTGGATCTACTTTTTTATACTTTTATTATTTTATTAATTCTCCTCCCTCATATGTCCCTGCAGCTTCCAGTATTCTCTCGTCTCCATCAAAGAAAGGTCAGAAGGGCACCTTGGTGGGTTACTCACCCGAAGGGACTCCCCTGTACAACTTCATGGGAGATGCCCTGCAGCATACATCACAGTCCCTCCCGCGGTTCATCAAAGATTCCCTGAAACAGATCCTGGAGGAATATGACTCCAGACAAATCTTCTACTTCCTGTGTCTCAACCTGGTACGTACGGTGTCAGGAAGAGAACAGTCAGGTGAAAGATCAAGGATATCATCTGGGGGGCCATTTACTGAAACTCTTAAAAATTGGCAGCACTGCAAAAAACATTATTGTTCTGCCAGGTAAAATTAAAGGGTTAAAATTTCTGATTTCAAAATAAAAGCTTTTGTAATAAAAGAAAAATAAAGAAAAATAGAAAGATATATTATTACATAGGGTAAATTAAGGATAAAAAAAGGATTGATAATCCAAATAAGACAGCTATTGTGGGGATATCCCCCACAAACTGCTCCTGCTCTCCTACAACATCTTGACAGTTGTGTTGGAAAAAGAAACTTCCACTAAGGAGATGTCCTTGCTACTGTTTCTAGGAATTCAGGGGGGTTAATGACCTGAACAGGACTTTACATTTACACACAAGTTGCAAATTATATAACTCCACATATTTAAATTTGTCTGTTTCTGACGAAAAATAATAAATAAAATAAAATAAAGCATTTTGGGCATCAAAAATATAATTGGGGAAGTTCAACTTAGATATTTTCAGTTAGATATTTTCAAGTTGTAAATTAAATTTCAACTTTGTTTTCAGACGATATTTATGACTTGACTGTAGAGGTGGGTTTGACTTCAAATACTCTGTTGTTATTTTGAGTTCATGTAAGCTATGTTGCTCTGCACATTTCAGGCTTTCACCTTTGTGGAGCTGTTTTACGGCGTTTGGACCAACAGTCTGGGATTGATCTCTGATGGCTTCCACATGCTGTTTGACTGCTCGGCTTTAGTCCTCGGCTTGTTTGCTGCCCTTATGACCCGCTGGAAAGCTACTAGGATATTCTCCTATGGGTAAGGTCAATAAAGAACATGTGCAAAGGCTTTGGCAGGAGATATTTGAATAATTGAAAGCACTTGAACTTCAGCTGGATGTTGAAAAAACATTTTCCCTCCCAGGTATGGTCGTGTTGAAATACTTTCTGGATTCATCAATGGGCTGTTCCTGATGGTCATCGCTTTCTTTGTCTTTGTTGAGTCAGTCACCCGTGTGTTGGATCCTCCTAATATAAACACAGACATGCTGACTGTGAGTAAGCTGCATCTACAACTCATGTAAAGGCTTGTGACTATTATGTACTTTGGTAACATTTATTTGGTATGTCCTGATATTTTTCCTTTGACATCATGTCTGCCAATACACAGTCCTCCCTAGGTATTTATTTTTTCCTGCTTAAAACAACCGCACATCGTGCTCTTCAAGTATTATTTAATTTAAGTATTATATTTTATTATATTTTCAACGTGAAAGTACAAGTCAGCCTGTCAAAACAGTTGAAGAATGCTGAAGGCGGTAATGTCATTAGGGTTATCTTGACTTAAAGACTGCAAATGTATATTAGAAAGCTTGTGTTACAAACTGGGGCTGTGGAGTTTGAAAGACATGGGCATTTACCAGACAGGGAGGGTCTAATGAAAAGACACTTATCTAATTACATAATGGGGAAACGTATGATCAACATGAGAGAAACTAAAAGTCAGCTAAATCTCGGCCTCTGCCACATTCTGACCGTTCTTTTAATAATCTCTCTCTAACACAAGTCCCCCAGTTTAATGGATGTGCCAAAATTAATCACTGAAGTGAAGCCCTTTAAGAATGAACACTTTTATTTAGGGATGCACCGAAATGAAAGTTCTTGGCCGAAACTGAATATAATAAAAAACATTCCCAAATGCCGAAGGTTTTTTACATTTTACATTTATTTTGCCAATATTTTTCAGAATGTGCTTTTTACTCAGTGTTTCCCACAGGATTTGGAGAGAGTATGGGGGTGGGCCCAAGGCCTGAAAGGGTCCGATAAAGTAAATTGGTGTCCATTTACTTTTAATGGACAAATATAATATGTTTTATACTTTCTGTGAATATAATCCAATTAATCTTGTCTATACAGACACCTTATTTTGAAAACAAGACGTTGTCACATGTGTATCCTCGCGCAAAGTCTGACGCAATTTGATAAATAATGTTGTATGTGGTTCTCGTATTACGTACTTCATAGTAGAGGTTCTCCGATCAGGATTTCTTGGGCTGATCAGCGATTGCTGAAAGCAGTATTGGCTGATATCGATCACTGGGTCTATTTGAAGTCTTTTATTTATCATGTAGCATTGTGCAGTATACTGTATATTTATTTAATTGGTCCTAAGAACAATGTATTAAGTATTAAAATTAAATGAACAGATGATAAAGTATCATGAAATGACAATTTTATTGCAAGGAAACATGGGCAACAAATTCCACTCTATCTGTGTTAGAGACTTAAACCATAGCAGCCTTTGCCTGGTTACTGTGAACATCTTATAGCTTAACAAATATAGCTTTCCTGTGGAATAAACTACAGTGTGTTGTAATGTGAGGCTACGTCCACACCACTGTGTTATTTCTGTAGTTCGGTAGTAGGTCACCCTTACTTCATAGCCTCTCTTCAGGTAGGATTCTCATACTGCAACACAGAGACAAACTGACAGGATAAAGTTTTTCTTTCGCGCTATTTCTGGTCAATTAATTTTGGTGGCCGAACATTCTGTGCATCCCTACTTTTATTCAGTGTCATACACCACACGGGTCTCCAAGATATTACTTAAATTACATACAGAGGCATGATCAAACAAAAAAGGAATGCAAGCAAAACACAGAGTAATCTCCTTATGTGTCAAAGCATAGTATGTCAGATGAAAACAGCAAATTAAACATTACTCTTATACGTTGATGGCAATCATGACAAACAGGTGGGAGGATGTCCAGCAGACCTCATTCAAATCAGACTTTAATGGCTGTCTCAATAAAAACATTCTTACACATCCTTTATATTTAGGATGATATTGGGGAAAGTTATATGTGCCATCAGTCATGGTAAGTAATGGTCTTTGATCGAGTCGTTAGACATCAGTCAGTCTGAATTCTGCGTGCCATTTTTCTACCCTTTAGCCCGTGTCTGTCGGAGGATTACTGGTCAACCTGGTGGGCATCTGCGCTTTCAGTCACGCTCATTCTCACGGCGCCAAAAGCTGCCCATCGCACGACCACGGCCACTCACACCATGGCCACTCCCACAGCGAGCACAGCCACGGAGGTCACGGCCACTCTCACGGAGGGCACAGCGGACACGGACACGGCGGGCACGGGCACTCCCACGGCTCAGGGGGCGGAGGCATGAACGCTAACATGAGAGGTGTGTGTTTCATTTAATGCGCTAAAAATTGAGCTTTGTTGAGAGGACATTGTATCTGGATATAATCCTCATTTTCTTTTCTTCCAGGTGTTTTCCTCCATGTCCTGGCTGACACATTAGGCAGCGTTGGCGTGATCATCTCCACCATCCTCATCCGTCAGTTCGGCTGGTTGATTGCCGACCCCATTTGCTCGCTCTTCATCGCCACGCTCATTTTCCTCAGCGTTATCCCTCTGCTGAAGGACGCCTGCGAGGTTCTTCTTCTGCGAACTCCCCCAGAAAATGAGAAGGACCTGAACAGTGCGCTGGAAAAGGTGAGGAGTCCCGCGTGATGAGGTCAAAGTTACTGCGGGGGGGGATTAAAATTGTGTCTTTCTTCTTTCTTTCTTTAATTTTGTGTTTCTTTAATAGATTTTGGTTTTACAAACTAACAGTACGTATGAAGGGCAGACATTGGGGCAATTCTTTTTTTCTATTTCACGAGATGAGATGAATGGTGGCAGTTTTTGAACTGTTGTGTGAAGATGACTTCCTAAAAACATGTCAATGAGACAAACGATGTGATCAGGTATTCAGTGTAAATTTTAAAACAGTTCTTTTCACCTCCACCAAGGAGGTTTGTTTCCAGGATATCAGAAAAAAAAAAAGTCGACATGAAACTTGGTGAAAAGAGACAGTTTCAAACTTGTGTATAAGCTGGAAATTTCCCATTTTCTTGAAACAAATGACAATCTATTTAAATTACGTCAATCAAATCACTCACATCAACATACGGTAAGTCATTCAAGAAGGTACTTGAGCATTATTATCTGCCCTGGCAATGGTAAAATGTTCAGCAGATATTTTAAAAACGGTTACGGTCTGTTTTTTCAGATTGAGAAGATTGAAGGAGTTCTGTCGTACAGAGACCCTCATTTCTGGAGGCACTCAGCCAACGTGATCGCAGGGACCATCCACCTCCAGATCATGTCAGACGTGGTGGAGCAGAGGATCATACAGCAGGTAGAATTAAGAGTCATACTGATGTTTCACTGCAGACTCCTATCTGTGGGCCTAACTTCATCATACCAGCTGACAACAGTTTGATCTTTGGGCAGATTGTCATGAAATTTTGAGAATGTGTTACTGACAGTTCTAATATGCCTGTGACTGTGTGGTTCCCCCCTCTATTTGTAGGTGACGGCCATTTTGAAAGATGCCGGGGTGAATAATTTGTCGGTCCAGGTGGAGAAGGAGGCATACTTCCAGCACATGTCTGGACTCAGCACCGGATTTCAGGAAGTTCTGGCAATGACGCAGCAGATGGAGACCATGAAATGCCTCAAAGACGGGACATGCATCATGTAACGACCAAATGGGGACCAAATGATACTTCACCGATTCAACCCTCAGTCTCTTTTTCATTGAAATGTACAGTTTATGTATGTATGTGGTTCAAATAAATCTGAATATATTGGTTTTATATTTGTGTCGACTGCATTTTGTTTGTGTGCAGAATTTTTCCTTCTCTAAACATTCACTGTTGAACTGTCTTTATTATTTGCATTTGGCATTTTCACTGCAGCAGCACTTGCCACAACAAAGAAAGTGTGTTTTGATTGTACAAAATCTCACTACACTGAGAGACGTTTAAATATTTGTCTAAATCATAAGATTTGGGACTGACTGCTAGTTCACAGCTGTAACTGTATAACAATCAATAGGGAATAACATTCCCACATTTGCTTTGTTCTGCTATCCCTCAATGGACCCTATTGCCCTATGCCCCCAGATTTACAGTATTTGTTTCATTTCTCAGCTGTGTTGACATCAGTTTGTGACAGAAATGCCAAAGATATGTTTGAGGTAATTTAGAAACTGTCATGATTACATAGTTTAGCCACCAGCAAGCATTGACAAATTGATCTAACAATGGTAAAATGTCGCCCGCCATCTATCTCTGTCACAATTCTTAAAAAACATATTCAAGAGATCCTTTTTTTAAATGTTTAAAAACCAAAACTAATATTGGCCAATATATTTTACATATGGCCACCAAAAGGCAGCATTGTTACACTAAATGTCATGGTTTGCTTCACTGAGTACTCCTGAAATCATACTTTATGTTGTTATCCTTTCTGTGTCTGACTGCTTCTGTAATGTATTTGTACTTTGTCCGGCGCAACCATAACCAGTTGGGATTGGAACTGTCACATCCCACCTTTTGTTCTATGTCACTGTCAGAAGGTATTTGGTCCTAACTAGAGATATGTTGGAAATGTTCTGACATTTGAGTCACTACTTGAGATTCAGTAATGGTACTGATAAAGACTGACCATGAAGATGTCGGTCTTCCCTTTCTAAATCTCATTAATTTGCAGATCATGCTAATCTATATTCCCCATTAGGGGACAGTAAAAATCAAGGGCTGAATACAGCAGTGACCAATGAGACGTTAAACAAAGTAATGTTGAATAACCATCTTGCTTTATTTGAGCAATGAGCATTAATCTAATGCATATAAATGTGAAGAAAAACACAGTTTCACACGCTTTCTGTTGCTACAGTGCAGAGAGAAATGCTGATTATGACACAACTGATATGTGTTGATCAATGAAAACAGAACTACATGAAAAGTTTCCTTTTACCCACATCCCTACATGTTCAGACTGACATGTAGGAGTCAGGAGTCTGTAATGTGCAAACAACAGGGTTCATGCATCCTACACAGCTGTTCTCCTGTTCGTGCCTTCTACTCTATCTCATTGGAGGTTCCCACGGTGGCCTTGATCTCCATTTCTGCTGGGGAATCAAAAAGAAATCAGGAAGCTGCTATAGACCATAAGCTCATTCCCTGTGTTTAACAAATATCTTAAATAGATTGTTTACCTGGGCAAGGTCCCCCTTCCAACATAACATCATCAATGGCGATGTCACTCCGTACCGATGGACCCCTGGTCGCTGTAAACACAATCTGCAACAGTGACAAGTGAAACAATTGGTCAAAGGCCCTGAAATCAGCTTCTGGCTGTGGCGGAAGAAGTACTTAGATCCTTTGGTGAAGTAAGCGTACCAATACAAAATGTAAAATTACACATAAAAGTCATGCATTAAAAATCCTACTCAAATAAAAGTACAGAAGTATTATCAGTAGTAATGTACTTAAAGTATCAAAAATAAAAGTACTGCAGAAAAACAGCCCATGTGACTAATATATTATTATATATGACATTTGTTGAAGGAGTTCAGTTCAGTGGTTCCCAACCTAGGGGTCAAGCTCCCTTCAAAGGATCACAAATTAAATTTGAGGGGTCGTGAGGTGATTAATTGGAGATGAGAGAAAAACAAACAAAAAACAAATCGTTATTCATATTCATAATCTTTTGCTTTTCGGGGGAAATACTGGAAAATTGTAACTTCTTCAACTAGAAACACATTTTTTAAAATGCTTCACAAGCCGAAGGGGTTGGGAACCAGCAGTTTAAATAATGCATTGTATTTTAAAATCGTATCACATTAACAAACAATCTTCATTTGAAAAATGACAAGTAACTATAGCTGTCAGATAAATGCAGTGGATTACAGAGTACAATATTTTTCTCTGAAATAATAATAGAGTAGAGGTATAAAGTAGTATAAGATGGAAACACTCAAGACGCACAAGACTATTGTACTTAAGATTTAAAGACTCAAAGAGATTCACAAAATCAGCAGTAAAACCAAACACATGTATATTAAAATCACCAAAGATTAGAACTCTATCATATTCAGCCTTGGGAACTGCTGGGAACTTTATGGACATTTTTCGCAATTTATTGACCTGACAAAATAAAACAAAAATAGCCGTAGACTACAAAAGCCCTGAGAGGCAAGTGAGAAAAAGAAATATGGTTATCCATTTCTAAGTCTGATCTAAATTGTTCCCTCTCCTGTGTTTATGACTTAAGAACAAAAAAATAAAGGTTTTGCCAAGATAATCTTTCTAGGTGCTTTATATTGTTTTTCCATCCGTGAAGCAGGTGGAAAAAAAGCTCTGCCAGGGGAAAATAAAAGTTTTGCAAGGTGAAAAGATTTAGCAAGGTGAAAAGATTTAGGATCATTTGTGTACTCAAAGTGTTTGTTGTTGTAATAATCATTTCGACCTATAGAGGCAACCCCGTGTTCTAAATAGAACTAAATGCATTTATTGTTTCTTCCAGGTGAGTTTTTTGTTTCTCCGTGCACTCTGGACACAACGTTCATACAGTGTATTGTGTGTTAGCAAGTCATGTAACATTATATATAATAGGATAGAATTTAGATTAGACTTAGAAAATGGATCACCAGAATAGTGTTTATCTCACTTGCCTCTCAGGGCTTCCATAATAAACATTATCATTATTTGCAGCCATACACGAGTGATTCTATCAAAAAAAGCTTTGTAAAGTGTACTTGAACTTGAAGCCAGTTGACATGCGTTGGTCCAGCACACAGGCTTTAAATATAAAACAGTTAGGAGAGATTTAGTTGCACTCTTGCCTGATGCTGGCTGTCACACTGGTACTCCACTGTGGCCCTCAGCCAGGCAATGCTCTGCTCGCCTCTCCGTTGCCACAGCAACACGTCCTCTCCGTCCTTGTCGAGGTGAACGCTGAGTTGCCCGGTGCCTGAGCCGTACATGTGGTAGTAGAAACGCAGACACTTAGGTCCCCTGGAGCCCCTCAGAGGGCGGGACAGCAGGCGGACACTCTGACCGGGCAGCATGGGCGACGCCTCCATGTGCAGGTAGTATCCTGTCAATCAAAAGTCAACGGGCTCATACTGTGTGAGCAGCACCTGAAGGGTTTTTGTGTGTTTTTGTGCGACAAAATAAAAATTTAACATTTGAATCTCTTCTTCAGCATGCCTGTGTACTGCGTGCATTAAGACATATAAGCAGAGCACTGTGGACTGTGTCCGGCGGTGGCAGGACAGCTGAAGCACGGGGCCCTCACCGAGTCCCGTGGTGTGGTCTCCTCTTGGCCCGGTGTATGACGTCGGGGTGGGTCCTCTCCTCCACTCCCAGTCAGCATCATCACTCTGTTTGTCCTGAGTGTAACCGCACAGGCCTGCTTCAAAGTCACAGTGTCCTGGGAGGGACAACGACAACAAACCTGCCACAGGAAAATGAATGAAACCCTGTTAGGTAACACACAACTCAAACATTAAACATCTGCTTTCATACTATTGTGGGAATCACCTGAAACTCTGAAATTTTAGTCACCCAGACAGATTATTATAAACTGTAACTTTGTATGAAAGCTGTGACCAGCTTTAGATAACACTACAGCAGCAGATTTCCCATTTCCTCAACAAAGAGTGCTTTGCAACATCCCTCCAACCACAACATCTCACTACTGGGTGGTCCATAGCTGACTAGGGGCCCTGCAACCATCAGGGGCCCCAAACAAGCAATTAACCAGTTAGTATGTTATGCACAAAATGGTGATTGAAAAAATAGTGATGGGTTGATATCAGACAAATATACTTTCCTGGCACAAATTCCCTAACAAAATCACCAGGGCAGTTGCATATGTTATGTTAATAATCCCCCCGGGACCCTGTACGCAGGATAAGCAGTTGACGATGGATGGATGTTAATAATCCAGCCTTGATTCCCAGAATGAATTTTGTTATTCTCCGGAAATCCTGGCTGCCATCAGAGTGCTTGTTCAGTTTTACAATAAAATAAAAACAGCTACAGCGCTGGTTGTTGGCAACATGTGCGTACACACTGCAATCTGCAAATAATTTTGGTGTTTTTACCCGCTGACTGCTCACAGTCTCCGAGGCTCACAGTGATGTCGTCCAACGCCACAGAGCCACAGTCCCAGAAGCTCCTGCAGGTGCTGACAAAAACCACCTGAACAGCAATGGTAAACAGTGAGCAGAGACGTCTTCATCAGCTTCATGGTCCCAAAGGAATTTGTACTTCTTTACAACCACTAATCATTTACAGATCAGCTCTGAATAGAACTGAAACTACGGACACTTTGTTGTGGCTGTTGTTCACTTTCTGCTCGCTGTTTGTGTGATATTTTAAAATCCCCCGTGAGGAAGGAAAGAAATCATTAATCAAACGCTGAGTGTGTAAAGTGAGGAACAAAAAGCCAATGTGGGGAAAGCCTTTGAGCATTTTGGCATCCGGATAAATAAATTCTTCTCATCATGCAGAACACATGACGGTACTCTGTCTTTTAACAGTAAGTTGTTCAGTGATAAAAAAGAAATCACAGATCAGAAAGTGAAGCTTTTTAATGAATTACTAGAAATTTGTTTCTTTATTTCATCTGTTGAGCCTGTTTGTCCTTATTTCTGGCCTGCTTTCATTTAATTTCCCCTTCCTTTGTCTTCCCTTGATCCACCATTTGTTTATTAGTTTTTTTTATTAGCTTCTTAAATTGAGCTAAATTTTTTTCTAAAATAATTCCTTTCCTTTTTTAGCAGTGCTAGTGGCGTAGCTGT